TTTTTTTTGCGGGCATTGCCCGCACCGCCCGCACCGCGGGCGCTTAGCTAGTATATATATATATATATATCGTCAAATAGAACTGCCCGGTAAACCGTAGGCAGAGAGGGAGAAGAGGACAACAAACGAGGGGCTGTGATATATATATAGAAACTCCGACGAAACAGTTTGTCACAGCCCCTCGTTTGTTGTCCTCTTCTCTCTCTCGGCCTACGGTTTACCGGGCAGTTCTGTTTGTGACGATATATATATCCTCAAACAGATCTACCCAGTGAACCCTAGGCGAAGAGGGAGAAGAGGACAACAAAGGAGGGGCAAACCGAGTGAAAATGATCCAGGACAGGCCCTCTGTGAAGAAGGGCAAAATCCAAACCTGCGCAAGCCTCTGACAGGGATTCAAATCCAAAACGGTATTTCGCAAACGTAGGTAATGACAGTGCGGTATTCCACTCTACCCACAACTTTCAGGGGTATTTCACATATTTGTGGGCTCTAGAAAAAGAGAGAGAAATTAAAAAGTTCCCCAGGCCCTTAGGCTCGCGTTCCGAGTGCCCGCTTGGTTTGCCAATCAGAGTCGTTCTTCCCCTTGGCGGGTAGAGTCTGGGCTTGGTCGGATTCAACAGACTTTGGCGGGCTATGATGGCGATTGAGGGGGTCTTCGTGGAGCGTCTTCAGGAGTTTTGCAAGAGACCGCGCAGCTAGGCATGGGTGGGCGGCGTGTTGGCGTGGGTTGGGGAGGGAACCTCTGTGACCGGGCGTCGGTGTTGGCGTTTGCCGCCGCTTGTGGGTAGAAAGAACTTCGACCCTCAATGCGTTACCCGGATACGCCCAAGCTCCCACATGACCAGTCAGTCGAGACCCGGCCCAAGCAAGACTAGCGATCTTCGCATGATGACGAAACAGGACTGGACTTCACCCGTAGAGCTTAAGCTCTGGCTGAACGTTGATCGTGCAGCGCGGCTTCGCTTGGGAAGCACGCAGTTGAACTTTCATCACATTGCTATGCCATCGCCATTGTCTGGCACTGCGAACTGGGTATGTTAGCTTTCCGTGCGCGTGTGCTACGCCCACTACCCTCGATCCGAGATCATTTTTCGTGTCGTTGTGCGTTGCTTGATTATCAGTCTATGCTGCAGACAACGAAGCCACCGTTTCGAAGTTCTTTTGTGGATTGACAGTGTATTACTTCCCTGATGCCTCATGCCTTGCTCTTCTCAACCTTTCCTTGCTCTTGTTGACACCATCTAGTCACACCAACGCAGACACAATTTGGGCCACAGCGTGCGCGCACGAGAGAGAGAGAGAGAGAGAGAGAGAGAGAGAGAGAGAGAGAGAGAGAGAGAGAGAGAGAGAGAGAGAGAGAGAGAGAGAGAG